ACTATTGCCCCCCCCCCTTTTTTTTTGTTAACTTTTTAAGATCTATTTATCCTATAGATTTCAGTCACCGTCTCTCTCTCTTAAAAAATGTAGTGTTGTCTTGTCCATTTAAATATTATAATGTTATATTTGAGATATATTTTTGATCAAATAAAACATGTGTTTAATTAAAAAATTTTAATAAATTTTATTAATTATTTTAATAGAGTTTAAATAGGTAGATACGACCCATGAAAAAAATAATTATTGTGTTCTAAGTATTAAATATTAGTCTAGACTATTTATTATGCTTATTTAATAATCGAATCAAATTTATAATCGTTTGTGTCGGGTTTGTATCAACTAGTCAAATTGGACATCTTTAACCACAATTAACTAATTTTAGTATAGGTACTAATCATTTTAATGAATGTTTTGTGAGTCCATAATTTATTAATTATTTTAAATATTTCTATATGTGTGTCAATGCGTGTCTTACCATTCACTAATTTTATTTGGAGTAGATAGAACATATAAATTAATCTTTTAATCCATTTAATATATTGAGTTATTATTCCGACATGACGTATACTTTTTTTTGTGACAGAATTAGAAATGCCTCAACATGGCCCAGAAGAAGGTTCACAAAGTAATCCCAGTGATGATATCGGTTGGAACTTTGCGACAATGACTACCAATAGACATGATGCAGTATGTATATTTTGTAAAACAATCATTAAAGGTGGTATTACACGAGTGAAAGAGCATTTGGCAGGAAAAAGAGGCAATGTAACATCGTGCCCAGACGTGCCATGAGAAGTCAGAGAACAGATGATGAAATATCTTCCAGAAAGTAAAGATAAAAGAAAAGATAAACAAAAGAGGAAGGAAGAATTGAAATTCCATCTGAAGGAGACAGTGGTTGGGGATCCTAGGTATGTGGACTTGGGTAATGATTCAGATTCTGATCCAGATATGGCGTTCCCGAGAAGAGAAAGTGCAATTTGAAGAAAGTCACAGACGTAGAAGTGTACATGTGCCACAGTATAACGTAGGAGGTAGTTTTGGAGGTGGGGGTAATTTTAGAGGTAAAGATGGAGGTAGGTTAAGACGATCTCATTCAATTCGTGAGCAGGATGTTGATGGTAGTGCTCGACATTGGATTAATTATGATACTCCTGAAGCTAGATTAAGGGAGATGGATCCTGATTTTATGAGAAATAAAAGTTCTAAGCAGCCAAAGATAAATTCAAATTACCAAAAGATTAGAAGGAAAATGTTAGGAGATATGTTTTCCAAATTCATGTTATATAACAATTTGCCTTTTCATGTAGCAGACTCTCCTTGGACTCAACCAATGCTTGATGTTGCTGCTGAAGTAGGAAAAGGGGTTAAATGTCTGAATTCTTATGAGGTGTCTGAGATATATTTGAATAAAGAAGCTAATGCAATGAAGGAGTAGATTAAGTCTTTTCGACCAACATGGAAAGAAAGAGAAGTTACTATCATGTGTGATGGCTGGACTGGTCAAACACGATATCACATTATCAACTTCTTGATATATTGTAATAAAGATACAATTTTCCATAAGTCTTTTGATGCATCTAATGTAGCAAGTAGGACTCAAATTATTATTTTCATTTATTAGATATGGTTGTTGAAGAGATTACACAAGAATATGTTGTTCAAATAGTGACTGACAATGAAGCAACTTTTAAGGCTACTGGAAAGAAGTTGATGGAAAAAAGACCATATTTGTATTGGACAGCGTGTGCAGCACATTGTACTGATCTTATACTTGAGGACATTTCAAAAAAAAAAATTTGTTGCAAAGGTTCTAGATGATGCAAAGTTTATCACAAGCTTCATTTACAATTATCCAAGGGTATACCATTTGATGAAAAAATATACAAATGGTAAAGAATTGTTACGCCCTTCAGTTACCAGATTTGTTACAAATTTCATTGCACTTGAGAGCATTATTAGGCAGAAAGATAACCTAAAGGCTCTGTTCACTTCTGATGACTATAAGGTGGGAAGATGAAAATCGGCCCTCCTAGTGATGTAAAAAATTTGATTATGGGCAAAGACTTTTGGAAGAGAGGTAATGAAGTTTTGATTGTTCAAGAGCCATTGGTTAGGGTGTTAAGGTTAGTAGATGGAGATGAGAAACCTACAATGAATTTTATATATGAAGCAATGGATCGAGCAAAGTTGGCTATTAAAAAAGATTCTCGATATTGGGTTGACTATTAGAAGATTATTGATCGTCGGTGGTCTGTTCAGTTACATCATGATTTGCATGCTACTAGTAAGTATGGACTACAAAGTTATGTTTTTTATATAGCTGTATGAAATTTGCATGTTATGTGTGGATAAATAAGTAGTCATAATGAACTAAAAATTAATATAAAATAGGTTACTTCTTGAATCCACAATTCCAGTATACTACTACCAGCTCTAAGGAGACATTCCGAGAAACAATGGATGGAACACAAAAAGTAATACAAAAATTGGAGCTGAACATTGAATGTCAGATTAAGGCAATAAATCAGGTATATAGTGCCTGTTTACTTACAATTTTATGTATTATTTGAATGACATGTTATCTAATACACATTCTTTCACAATTATAATGTATGTAGATGTTTTTGTTTCAGGATAAAGCAGAAACATTTGGATCAAATATTGCGCAAGCAACAATTAACAAAACAAATCCTGGTAAGTTAAGTTACAATTTATAATATGTAGTCAATGTATATATATTCATTTATGAATTCATCAAAATTTATTTTATGTAGCTGAATGGTGGATTCTTTATGGCTCATGTGCTCATGAGCTTCAAAGTATAGCAGTTAAGGTACTAAGTCAAACTACTTCATCTTCTGGTTGTGAGCGTAATTGGAGCACATGGAGTCTTATTCACACCAAGATGAGAAACAAGTTGAAATATGCTAAACTCCAAAAGCTTGTTTTCATTCACGATAACATGAAATTGAAAATTAGGCATACTGTGCGAAAGAACCAGCAGGAGATTGAGAATAGCTTTAATCCTATCAATTTGGATTACATATTTCATGAAGATAATCCCCTAAATCCATGGTTAGAAGAAAGAGAAGAACCATTGATGCCCTTGAATAAGGAAACTCGCTCTTGGATGAATTTTTTTGGTGAAGATGATGATAATGAATGCATACCTCTTTCTGAGTCACTTGATAACCAAGGCTCTGATTCTAGTCCTGCGCCAACTGAAAGCGATAATGGTGGTGGTAGTGACAATGATGATGATGGTGGTGGTGGTGATGGTGATGATGATGGTGATGGGGGTCATCGGGTTGCTAGTCTAATCCAAATTTATGGTTATAATTGTGAGGGTAACCTTCCAGCTCAGGGTGATACTAGTGGTCATTGTCATGATTCACCGTTTCGCGGGGATCATGGACTTAGTGTGGTTAGAATTGATCCATAAGCTTATGGTCAAGAATTATGGCATGGAAAAAAATCAAGCAGAAATACGGGAAATTGAAATGAATATGAAGATTCCTCGTCTAGTGTTATGCAGAGTTTGAGTGATCTCACTCTTAGTGATTCATCATATGGTAGTGGTAATGAAAACAACCACTCATCAAGCTATCCGGCTGAAAATTATAGGCCTTACCCTTATAGTTATTCTCCTCAACACTATCCTCCACCATTACATCCCCAAGATAATTCTTTAGGGCTTTTGAACTTTAACAATTACTTGACATTACATACATATGGAGAGCAGTCACGACTAGTATCACCCTTTCTGAGTCACTTGATAACCAAGGCTATGATTCTAGTCCTGCGCCAACTGAAAGCGAGAATGGTGGTGGTAGTGACGATGACGATGATGGTGGTGGTGGTGATGGTGATGATGATGGTGATGGGGGTCATCAGGTTGCTAGTCTAACCCAAATTTATGGTTATAATTGTGAGGGTAACCTTCCAGCTCAGGGTGATACTAGTGGTCATTGTCATGATTCACCGTTTCGCGGGGATCATGGACTTAGTGCGGTTAGAATTGATCCATAAGCTTATGGTCAAGAATTACGGCATGGAAAAAAATCAAGCAGAAATACGAGAAATTGAAATGAATATGAAAATTCCTCGTCTAGTGTTATGCAGAGTTTGAGTGATCTCACCCTTAGTGATTCATCATATGGTAGTGGTAATAAAAACTACCACTCATCAGGCTATCCAGTTGAAAATTATTGGCCTTACCCTTATAGTTATTCTCCTAAACACTACCCTCCACCGTTACATCCCCAAGATAATTCTTTAGGGCTTTTGAACCCTAACAATTACTTGACATTACATACATATGGAGAGCAGCCACGACAAGATGGAGTTGAATTGGGAACATTTACTTATATGTTGCCCACAAGATGGAATGATGATAGTGGAGGTAATCAAGATCAATCTCAATCTCAATGTTTGGATCTTCCACGTCGTTCTTTTTTGTGGTGAGATTGTTGAAAGGTAACAATATTTCTTTTTCTTTTTTATTGTATTGTATTATTCTAAAAATCATTTTGGTTCTATCAATATGTTTCATTTAATAAATTATTAGATTTATAATTGTGCATTTCATTTGTTCAATTGTTGCTAATGGAAATATCACTGTTGTATAGTGACTTAAGAAATATTATTAATACTTATGATATTTTATTATCATGTTTATGATACAATAAAATATACTAAATCACTAAACACCTATATTTGCATGATTTTAAGTTGAAATATGTAAATATTCATGTTTTATAGGAGGTTGTGAGTTGAAAAAAAAAAATTCACGCATTCGGTTTCCGTTACCATTACGTAACGCTCGTTCCACCCCGTTTTCGTTACAACGTTATCGTTACCGTTACCATTACGATGTCCGTTATCGTTATTCAGAACCATGCACCATAGCCTATTAGCCTACGTCTAACAAAGGAGAGATAGAGAGAGAGAGAGAGAGAGAGAGAGAGAGTGGAGATGGAGAACGGACCAAGAAGATGGGGTTTCCGATTGAACGAAGAGCTGAACACGGCGTCGGAACTCACCATAAGAGGCATGCGCTACTTCTTAATGGAAAATCTCAACCAAGCAGACCTCTCGGCCACGGCTACCCCTCAGCGTTTCAATGCTTTCGGACGGCTTCCATAGCCGAAGATGCGGTAGCCGATGCCGTCCGGTCAGCTAAGTTCAACGGCTATGCCCCCACCGTTGGTATTCTTCCGGCGAGAAGGTACTTAAACTTAAATAACATTGTCACTACTTTACAGTCTATCATTCCTTGTATGAAGCAAGAATATTTTGTTACAATAATTATATCCGTATTAAATATGAACATGATTTGGGCATAGTAGACAGACATATTGGATATTTTTTTAAAAAATTAAAAAAGGCAGCAAAAGAGAACAATTAGAGATCATGCCCGTTACACCTCTTCAGAATGAATCTAGCTAGGCTAATATAGCTATCAACCATCGAGCCCCAATGTAGATTCTGAGATTCGAACTTTCAATCTAAGTTGAAAAGTTCGATCAGTACTCCACTAGACCACACCACTCTGTGGTAGATATATTGGATATAATCCTATATGAATTGGATATTCCAAAAATGTTTTTCAATTTTTGGATATGTTTTGGTTACTCGTCTTATATGATTAGTATATGATAAATATAAAATAAAATAAATTTTCATAAACTTATTCGATGGTCTCAAATAGATTAATTCAACGACCGTTAATATCTCTTTTAAATTTTTACAGTGCCTTTAGACACGGGTTACCCATAGTATACATTAAAGATAAATGATATAGACGTTTAGAATATGTTTTGGATACATCGTTGATATTTTCAAAATCGGGTACTCAATAGATAATTGCAGAAAGCGAAATAAAATTTTTAAAACAAAAATGTGCAAGTTCGTTTTAAAAAAACAAATTGAGTTTAGCTTGCTTACCAAGCCACCCACTAGAGAAGCTAGTCCTGACAGTCGGCTATACTATTTATTGAATCAAAGCCTCTTATAACATGTCATTGTTAAGAGAATTTGTGTTCTACATCCAATAAATTAGGATCGCAAAGGTTAGTTTATATACTTGACGAACTATTCTATCCATTGTTAATTGGTTTTGGAATAGATGTTTTAACATGATGTCAGAGTTAGGTCTTGGGTGGTTAAAGGACCAAGTCTCTTACCCATTTGAATTTCTCACTGTGCATAGTTATTTGGTTGTTTGTTAACCCCATGTACAAGTTCGGCTCCCATATGGGGGAGAGTGTTGAGAGATGAGAAGCAGCCCCACCCAGTGACAATTGATTTTAGATTAGATACTCTAACGGTCATTAATCTTACTTCTAAAATTTTACCCATTTAAAAGTGAAAATAGAAGACCGAGGTGAATATTTGTTTACAATTTGTAATATATTTGATATTTTATATGACTTATTCATTCAAATACTTGAATAAAAAAAATCTTTAAATTATTTCATTGTTTTTGTTTCATTAGGAATTACCTAGTTACCCATCCTCTCCCTTACATAAGTTGTTAAAGAATTACTTATGACATGGTTCATCTGATCAAATTCATCAATGCAACATTTGATTATTTACCTAGGGCCATAGCAGAGTCCCTATCTCAAGAACTTCCATACAAGTTATCAGCTGATAATGTTTATCTAACACTTGGATGCGCACAAGCAATCGAAGTCATATTAGCAGTCCTTGCTCGACCCAACGCCAACATTCTATTGTCAAGACCGGGCTACCCTTATTATGCAGCGCGTGCAGCGTATAGCCATCTTGAATTCCGTCACTTTGATCTTCTTCCAGAGAAAGGTTGGGAGGTTGATCTTGATCGAGTTGAAGCACTTGCGGATGAAAATACTGTCGCGATGGTCATTGTGAACCCTGGCAATCCTTGTGGAAATGTCTTTACGTACCAACATCTAAAGAAGGTATGTATCTTTTTTTTTTTGCTTGGGGAGGGGGGGCGCATTGTAATTGCATGACTTTTGGTTATTTTGCTAATGGTGAGTGGGATGATCTCCTAGGTTGCTGAGACTGCAAGAAAGCTTGGGATGTTAGTGATTACTGATGAAGTTTAAGATCATCTTACTTTCGGGAGTAATCTATTTGTCCCCATGGGAGTCTTTGGATCAATTGCTCCTGTTATCACAGTTGGGTCGACATCGAAAAGATGGATTGTTCCGGGTTGGCGACTTGGTTGGCTTGTGACAAATGATCCCAATGACATCCTCAAGAAACATGGGGTACTTTCTCTTTCAACTATTACTCTCATGCCATCATGATTTTCCCCGATTTATTATACCACACATCAAGGTTCCCTTGATTGATATTTAGCAATTCAGGGAATGTAGTCTGTAGAACTAACTTAATTCCCAAAGCTGTGGAAAATCCTGTGACTCATTACGAGCAAGCGATAGCCGCATTCGTAGGTGTGGCCACCGCATTTGGGTAACATTATAAGCAAAATTCAATAATCTTAACACGAAGACATTGCTATAACTAGCTAATTAACATTAAAAAGCTTCGACCATATCTAGTGTAGTAGGCATATAGTTTGAAAATCATAATGAAATCCATGCTGTGGAAATCATTTATGGAAAATTTTGGTATAGCATTCTTACTGTATGTAAAGTCATGTAATGTAAGATGCACAATTTTGTCAACTGTTGTTTTCTTTTAGTTTAGATCTTCCGTTTTACAATAGAATAATACCTTAATTTTCTTCTTTCCAGATTGTCGATTGCATTAAGGGCTTTCAAAATATATCCTCTGACCCTGCAACCTTCATTCAGGTTTGTAGTTCAAGATGCTTTATCCAAATAACTTAGTTATCTTACATTCCTCTGGAATGGAATGATCCATTAAGGAAATTGAACTTCATGTTATCGATATGTCACTATGTATTGGTAATATCACTATCATTGTGTAACCTTCTCTACTTTAGAAATTTGTTGATAGCATTTGAAAGTAGTTTTTCTTATCTGTATCTCTTACACCTTGAACTTCAGTTGTAGACATCGAGCATATGAGCCCAATTATCACTCTACAACTATCATACTCTATTCTTAAACGGATGACTCTTATTTCATTGTATTGTCAGGGGGCAGTTCCACAAATCCTTGAGAGAACCCCCGAGGATTTTTTTTTCAAAAATTGTTGAAATTCTGAAAGAAGCTGCAGACATTTGTTATGATACAATCATGGAGATCCCTTGCATGACTTGCCCAAGCAAACCTGAAGGCTCTATGTTTGTAATGGTAAGGGCTTGTGTATCTGGGATTGATTTCTGTTACTAAACAAAGTTGTCAAAGTCAACTGTTACCACAAGAAATGTTAAAATTTCAGGTGAAACTAAATGTATCACTTCTGGAAGGCATTGATGATGATGTGGACTTCTGTGTTAAACTGGCAAAGGAGGAATCTGTGATAGTTCTACCAGGTAAACGACGAACAATTTAAGTTTCTGAAGTTAGTTCAATTATACAAAACTAACTTTCTTTCTATAAGCTTTCCAATCTGATGACCCGTGAGTTATACAATCATTTGACAAACGGTTTTTTTTTTCATCCTCTTTCTGCCAGTTCAGTAGTCAAGAAATATCAATTTCTATACCTTCTGTTGTGTTCCTTTTCAAACTTTTCGGTCCTCTTTTTGTTTGGTGAGCAATGATCTAATGGAGCAAAGCAAACTTACTTTCTTATTCATGGGAGTGTATTTGCTACCAACTTTCATGTAGCTAACAAAACGTTTCTAATCGTTTTGAAGACTGAAAGCTCACACTTGAGGTTTTAAGAATTGAAATTATTGCTTCCTATTCCTCTGACTGCACCACACAGTTCTAATTGATCTATTAATCCATTAACTTGAGAGAATAAATAGTTGGGACCCTAAATAGCTGAGATTAAGGCTGTTTTGAATTGAGTTGAGTTGTAACTTGAGAGGAATCTAAGTCATCAGAAGCCAGTAAACTGAAACAAAATTATGTGGACAACAGTTGTAGCAGTATCAGTAACGTGGAATTGATAATAGGAGAAATGCTGCTTACAAAACCCAAAGCTGAATCGAAAAACTTTTCAACTGTGAGTGTTACTAATAGAATATGCAGGGGACTAAATGCAGCCAAAATGGCTTTGAAAAAAGGAATTCTCAGTAAAACTTTCATGTAACATCTTATGTAGTTAGTTTGATGAGAAACTTCTTTAGGCAATGCAACTGCAATGACCAAAAAACAAGGCAATGCATTTGCAGAAGAGTCGAGACAGCAATTTTATGGCGTTTTGTCCTTCCATCAAGTTTTAGAATTGCCTTGTCATGACAATGTTTATTGCAGGGGTGACTGTAGGACTCAAGAATTGGCTTCGCATAACATTTGCCATTGAGCCATCACTCCTTAAACAAGGCCTTGGAAGGATCAAAGCTTTCTATCAAAGGCGTGCCAAAAAAATACAGTAGGATTTATCCGTTGAAGTTATAAGATCCGGTGGAGCGGGGTGCGTATAATAAAGGTTTTAGCAATGACACCCATTGGAGACTATTAGCTCAGCTCCAAGGATTCAAGTGATGATGACGATGATCAGCTCTGTGTTGCTTCTTGTTCAATAAAATTCTATAGAACTTTAGAAGAAATGTTATTGAACTTATTAATAAAGTCATAAGATCCTCCTCTATATCTTGTAAACACTAGAAAGACGTATTACTGGTCATTGCAGGGAGGTGATCCAGATCTCTGCTCTGCATTGAAAGGCTCTGAAAATTCGATACGATACGATTATCTGATACAAATTGACACGACTTATGCAGGTTTAAATTAAATCTTAACGGATTTGGATGATAAACAGATTGACACGCCAAACACGTTTAATAAACGGGTCGTGTTCGGGTGAGACTTGTCAAACCGGTTATCACATGTTTACCCATTTAAATAAAATTAATATAATAATAAATTAATAATTATTTTAAAAAATTAGCAAGAAAAAAAGAAGTAAAGAAATCAATAAAAAAAAAAGTAAAGTAGTAGTTCAAAAACAAAAGAGAGAAAATAAATAACACTTCAAAGATAAAGGCAAACAAATATCTTTTGTTCTTGTCCCACATTGGAAAATGAGAGGAAATAGAGAAGATTGAGTTGTCTATAAAAAAACAATGGCCTCTTTTTTTTTTTTTTCAGCCTTCAAGTTTTATTTTTATGAGATTTGGTAAAAAATTTCTCTTTTTTGAGATAAGTGCAATTGACAATAAAAAAATAGTGGAGTATTAAAATTTGTTAATATAATTTTTTTAAAATTAAACGGGTTAAATGAGTTATGTCGTGTTATTTATTTATTAAACGGGTCGTATTCGTATTGAGATTTTTTACCCGTTTATTAAACGTGTAATATACAGGTTTATATATTTTTTATTCGTCATCTGTTTAACCCGACACGTTTGACACCCCATGATGTATTTGAAGACAAACTTCATCTACACTCCTTCTAAATAAACATATCTTCAATAAGATTCCTTCTGTTTTCTAATTTTTTTTACATATTAAAATTCGAACCAAAAAAATTTAATTTAAGCTAATTAAAATTTATTTTTTTACATATTAAAATTTGAGTCGATTAAAAATTATATTTTTATTAAAATTTGGGCTAATTAAAATTCCATTTGAGCAAATTAAAAATTATTTTTAATCAAATTTTAATCAACTCGCATTGAATTTTAATCAGCATAAATTTTAATACATAAAAAAATATAAATTATAATTGACTCAAATTTTAATAAATTGGATTTTAATTGACATGAATTTTAATAAGTAAAAAAATATAAATTTTAATTGACTCGAAAGCGAATTTTAATCAGCACTAACAACTCGTGTATATTTCGAATCGGTTCAAATTTTAATACTTAAAAAATAAATTTTAATATGCCCAAATTTTAATATGTTAAAAAAATAAAATTTTATCAACTTCAATCGAATTTTAATTGGTTCAAATGTTAATATGTAAAAAAATAAATTTTAATTTTCTTGAATTTTAATAAAATTTTATGTAGAAAAATTACTTAAGGTTTATGTAAGGGCATTTTTAGTATTTTAAATGAATTTGTTTTGTTAGAAATGGTAGTTTAATGGTAAGGAGTGTTAGTGATGTTTAAATATAAACTAGAAGGGTTGTTAACGATATTTTTATAATAGAAAGGGTGTTTTTAAAAATATAATAAACTAGGAGGGATATGACTGAAATTTTCCCTAAGAATTATAAAGTTTAGTAGGATATTTATTGTAGTCTTCACATTTAAGGGGTGATGTTTATTTAATCATTCTTTTTCTGAGTGTTGACTCTTGAAGACCAGTCCACTGAACTCTCTGTCTGATGCCTGTTTCATTGGCGATGTCCTTATCTGAACCAAATTGACAGTACAAAAAATATTTTATCACGAGATTCTCTGTCTCTCTCTCTTTCTCTCTTGCAACACTGCAACTTCAGTTACAATTCTCATCATCCACTGGTTATATATGGGTGTATAGAGCCTCTTCAGTTTTTACTTGAAAAACCCAATCACCAAAACAAGAGGCAAAAATGGAGATTGGGTCGAGAGACCAACCACCCAAACACGAAGAAAAACTGGAGAATGGGTCGAGAAAATGGCGTTTTCATGGGAAACAAGAGCTGAATAGAGCTTCTTCATTATCTGTTCGAGGTATTCTTAAGGCGATAACTGACAATCTCAATGAAGCTGATCAAAGGCCGACCATTATGCTTGGCTGTGGAGATCCCTCAGAGTATCCGTGTTTTCGAACCACGCCAATTGCCGAAGACGCCCTTGTTGATGCGATTCGCTCTGCTAAATTCAACTGTTATGCTCCTGCCATTGGTATTCTGCCAGCAAGAAGGTAACTGAAAGATCTCTTTATATATTTGCATTTACTTTCACAGATTGTCTTGTAGCTTTTTTCTTCACAGCTTTTCTGAGTTACAATTGATTTTCAGTTATGACCTTTTAGTCTTAAAATTTCCAATTTTATTTTTACATTGTCCATTTGATCATTTCTGTACAAATAATTATTGGAAGGGAATGCGTTGAGAGACATTATGTTTTTTTCCTTTAACTTCTTGTAGGGAAGAGGATTGGGATGAGATCAAGCTGTCCTCCAAAGATTTGTTTTTTTTTTTAATTCTCTACTGCATTGTGTAGTGGGCATGCCTAATGATGTTTAATGATTCGTTAGATTAAAGGGTCATTGATGACTATTTTAATCTCCAATTGTTGCTGCTATGTCATGCCAGATTTGTATTTTTTTTTCCTGAAACATATTTTCACTTTTTTCATGTAGAATTTATCATGTGCTTTGTGTTGTTAATACCATAGAAAAGAACAGTGGTGTAAATGCTTTCTTCTAGGCATTTATCTTACACAAATGTATCTGTAGGAGAAAAATAAGCAGCGTTGGATTGGCCATTTCATCTTATCCACATTTGGCAGTGTCTGAGACTTTCTTTGTATTTTCACATCTTAATTTTGGAATTCCTCATATTTTGGAAACTATGATGTGAAGTAAAGTGCAGTTGCTTATATTTTCTATAGGGGCCTTGAGGTTGAGGGTTTCAACTCCACTTGTATTTAGTCCTATCTCTACTGCACGTTTCATGCATGTGTTTCAAAAAAGTTGGTGACTGGTGATGGATCATCTGCCAATGACAATTCCAAATATGATACAGAAAATAATGTGGATCAGTAATTTATAACATTGTGAGACGAGCTTGATGGTGAGGTTCAACCTAACAGAGAAACAGTATTGCAAAATTTGCAGCTTAGAGTCATTTTCATTTCACCAAATAATTGAGATCATTTTTGTAGAAGTACCACAGAAACAAAAGAAAAAAAAAATTATCTGATTCGATGCTTATGCTTTCACTACTGTAACAGGTCTGTGGCAGATTATCTCTCTGAGGATCTTCCATATAAACTATCGCCGGATGATGTTTGTCTCACTGTTGGTGCCCGTCATGCAATTGAAGTAATATTGACAGTTCTTGCTCAACCTGGTGCCAATATCTTACTTCCTAGACCAGGGTATCCATATTATGAAGTTGTGGCCACATTGAGCCATCTTGAGGTCCGCCACTTCGATCTTCTCCCAGAACAGGGTTGGGAGGTTGATCTTGATGGTTTGGAAGCATTAGCAGATGATAACACTGTTGCCTTAGTTATCATCAACCCTGGAAATCCCTGTGGGAATGTTTTCACGTATGACCATTTGCAAAAGGTTAGTTGCACTATTTCACAGGAACTAAGAATGCCTATTTTGATTTTGACTCAAGTGGTTGTTGGGTTGCAAAACCACTTTTAAAGGTTGCGAAGACTGCAAGAAAGCTTGGAATTCTTGTGATTGCGGATGAAGTTTATAGCCATCTAGCATTTGGAGGTAACCCATTTGTGCCAATGGGAGTGTTTGGATCAATTGCACCTGTTCTTACAATTGGGACATTATCAAAGAGATGGATTGTTCCTGGTTGGCGTCTTGGTTGGATTGCAACTACTGATCCCAATGGCATCCTTCAAAAATCTGGGGTTTGCTCTCTCTCCACCTTTTTTTCGAGTGCATGTGCTTGTGTTTTGTTTCATTCATTCTCTACATGGTATTTACTTATGTTCTTATGCTACATTGTGCATAAAAAAGATGCATCATGGGAATTGAAAAAGTTGCACACCCTCCCAATTTCACATTACACAAAACAAAACTACAGAAGAGAAAAAGGTGGAAAAATGTTTCCTACATAACATCCATGATTGACATATCCTGTGTCCATATATTTGATAGAATTTGATTATAAATAAAGCAAACTAAACTCATCCAGTTCAAATGGGAGCATCACTGTTCAGTAGTTTTGTTTCATGCTAACATACCATATTTGGTCATAAAATCGATGCATCAAATAAAACATAATATCCCTTCTACATATAACCTTGATTTAGATTTCCAACTCTGATTTGGTGGCTTCGCATGTAGACCTACACTAGGAGAGACAGATTGTGGAACCTAAATTGTGATGTTTCCAATGATTCCTGCTATGCCAGATTTGAGAAGGATTGCAGCCAAAGAATTAGTAGGTAGTGTTTGGCATATTTTGTTTGTCGAGAAGTCAATGTAGTAAGAATCTTATAACTCGGTTATGCTTTTAGCAGGAAACGTTTAGCTCTTGAAATGTTTTGCTATATTTATGTTTACTAACCAGAATGTGATTGTGTTGCACATGAAAGTATCGTGATTCAGTGATGACTATTTATACAAATTGCTAAAGGGTAGCTAAGTGCATGAAACTTCCACCACTGAGGGAGGGTCAGATGATGTAGCCTTACTCCCGTCTGCAGAGAAACTTTTTCTGTTATACATACAAAATACTGAAGTGGCAAAGCAATACATAGACCTACTAAGAAAATGAAGCAATAAACATTAAGTATTACATTTAAGAACCAATACTACGCTTATACATGAATATCAACACATTGTACCAGCTGTGGTTGACCAGTGTTTTGAGACCAACTTTTAGGATAATTAAGGGTTGTCATCTCAAAAGTTAAGTGTTGCAGTTGCCAGTTATTTTGAGTAGAATAAATACGGCTTGAAGGCACTAGCTAGTTTAACATGAAGACACAAATCATCAAGATAAAGTTAAATGTGGTTGATTATTGGATTTTTTCCATAATCTTAAGAAAAACAGAGGGAAAGAGTGTATCAAATATATTCTAACTCACCCAATTGTGCAACAAAAGGCATATGAAAATCATTCTAAAACATATTGTTAAAGTTCGTCAATTTGCATGTGCGTACTAGATATACTATAGTGCATGTTTTTTTTTTTCTGGGTAAGTACAATAGAGTGCATGTTGAGGATTAATAAAATAGAGTGCTCTGTCACAATAAAAGTGGGGTAATAAAATAGAGAACCATTTCTTTGAATCCAAATATATTTCATAAATTCAGCTCATCTACATATAGGCACATATGCCTTGACAACTTATAACAAAGTTCGTGTTGTATCACATAGTTCTATTGCCTTTTGATTTGTTATCCGCTTTCAGGTTCTTTATATATAGAAGCATATGTTGCAAAAATTTATGATAAGGGTCTTGTTGTATCATGTAGTGATATAATATTTGATTTGTTTATTTGTTTTGGTTCTCTCCTCTCAGATTGTTGAGTCAATTAAGAGCTATCTTGAAATTGCTGCTGATCCTGCGACTGTTATTCAGGTATGTGATTCAAGATGCTTCTTTCTCAAGATATAATTAATCTTAAGAGGTGCAGTACTTTACAAATTTACGATAATACAGTATTCACTTACGAAATAGACTTTGTATCCATTTTGTGTTGGAGTAACTCTACTTGTTCTTCCTTTTCTTTCTTTTTAGTGTAGACGGGGTTGGAGCCACATATTTTGGGTTGGGCTCAAATGACCTCAGATTGGGCTAATAGTTTTTCATTTTCCATCTCATAGAAAACCCTTTTTACTCTATGACTGACCAGCAATTACTAGTGGAATTTCTGCATATTTGATGAAAAGGATGTCACATGGGAGTTATAAGTGTTGCATAACGAAATCTCCTCAAGCTCTTGATATTCCATTTCATTATAACGCATTAGTGGCACAACAGTATTTCTTTCCAGTGGATACAAATAACTAGGGTTCAGTTTTTAATGTCAGAGAGATGATGAATTAGAAAGTGAAAGAATTGTGCTTCAAGTAAGCATGAGAATACTAGTGTTGCAACTGGAACAAATGTCATACGTTCTAGGCTATGGTTGAGGAGCGTTAATCCTACAAGCAATTTTCTATCAGTGATCTAAAAGTATGTTTCTTGTTTCCTGGAGCAGATCAAGTGATAATGATTTTATGGCTGTCTCAGGGGGCGGTTCCTCAGATCCTAGAGAAAACTACTGGGTGTTTCTTCCAGAAGATTATTACTGTACTCACAGAAGCTGCAGATATTTGTTATGGTGAACTCAAAGAGATCCCTTGCATTACTTGTCCACACAAACCAGAAGGGTCCATGTCTGTAATGGTATAGACAAAGTTGAAACTCAAGCGTTTCTTTTTGTGAATAAATGTCGAAGGTGTTTTTACCTGGGATTACATTTTCCTTGTAGGTGAAGCTAAATCTGTTGGTACTAGATGGCATAGAAGATGATATGGATTTTTGTACCAAGCTTGCTAAAGAAGAGTCTGTTATCATTCTACCAGGTAAGCAATGAAAGTATCATTCAGAAACCAAGAAATAACAATCATTGGTATTTTATGGATTCTCTCTATGTTCTCAACACTATGGTTAGTAAGACAATAAAAGACTCCTATGCATATGTGGTGTAGCAACCCATCTGTAGAATACCATGAATTTCGAAAAGGTGGTTGGTTGAATGAGCTTGAGAACATAAAATTTCTTGCAGGTGTTGCTGTGGGACTGAAGAATTGGCTCCGTGTAACTTTTGCCATTGAGTCGACACCTCTTAAAGATGGCCTAGGCAGAGTGAAAGCCTTCTGCTTGAGGCATGCTAAGAAGGAATGAGATTTACTCGACATTCATCCAATCTCATCAAATTTACCAACAAGTAGGTGTTGGTTCTCTTACATTTGATCTCTTACTCACTTGTTACGCTTGCAGTCAATGGTAACATGGATTCTGTGCTGCTTGTGGCCGATGTGTATAATTGTTAATGCATTTGTCTTGATTTCTGAAATAATCTAAGAAAAGAACTTGTAGGTTTTATGGATTTCTTTTGGTGGAAGTTCGTTCTTTTTATTTTCCTGGTTAATTTTGGAAGTCAAGAATCAAAATTTCCATTTTTTTTGTTCTGTGGATGAGTAATAAAAAATTCCTTGTATGAGGAAATTATGAGTTCTATTTCATCCTGAATCCTAATCAAGACCATATGGCATTTATGTTTTTGTAAGTATCATGTCAGCAATATGATTTTCATTGATCTTGCAGTTGTTCGAAAACCATCATTTTTAAGGATGAAATCTGTGAGGGGTCAAGTCACATAGTAAAAAATTTAGGGTTAATCATAAATTGTACCCCGAAAGATCTCTTAAAGCTCAATTTGCACCCTCAAAGACCAAAATCTTAATTTACACCCTCAAAGATATAAATATGTATTAATGTGTACTTGAAGTTAACAACCGTCAGTTTGTTGTCTAAAATTAAATGGTTAAATTATACCTAGACTTCCTCATATTTGTCACTTAATTATCTGAATCTCCTCACATTTGAAATATTATACCTACATCCCCTGAGAATTCAAATATAACTAAAACTGTTTCCTAATTGGAAATTTAAATAATTTTGTTCAAGTGATTTATTGCTTTAGATATAAAGAACATTATATAATACTGATGAGGGTGGAATTTTTGGAATGGGCTGCCACGGCCTATGCGCTCAATACATCTTGAGAATCCAAAGGCATGGTTTATTGGCCCAAAGAGGTGCCTCTGGTTAGCCCACATCGGGAGCAACAAGAGTAAACGCCCAATGGCTCTAGAAGGCCAGTAGTCAAGCCCCAGCCTAGTCCAGTACCAGCTGAAGGACCATCCGAGAATGAGGAGTCAAATCTTTGCCCTAGAAGCATCCCGTCATGCCCCGCGTCCAAAAGACAAAGGGACCATCTCTGAAACCTATGACAGTTACACCCTCCCGGGCGTAGAGGATGGTGGCGCGTAACGATCCAGAGGTCGTGAAAAAAGTAGCGCTGGCTAACAGAGGCTTTTGCAAGACCAGGATGGGAGGTCCCCATAGGATGAGCAAAAAGGTAGAAGGAACCACCAAGAACCCTAAGAAGAATTAGTATAAATAGAATAGTGTAAACCTACGAAAAAGGATCTCCCCCCCCCCCCCAAGAGATTCCCCTGCCCTAGATATAGAAGAAACAAAGCTTAAGCTTCTGTAAAGGCTCAGTACCGATGATCCCGATATACTCACCTTATTCTAATACACGACCTTAAAGAGCAAGAGACTCCATTATAGTGGATGTAGCATTGGCCTTTCAGCTAAGGTAAACCACTTATGTTTTGGGCCTTCCATTACTTACGAATCAACCAATCATCAGATCAAACTCACTGATCCAGATAGTAATTCGTTAATCAGGCTTGGGCCATTGTTTCCGAGACCCCATCAGTTGGCGCCGTCTGTGGGAACGATTTTCATCGTTCTTTTGAGTTTTTATCTATTTGATGGTTTCAACTCGGAATATGATTAAAGCTCCAGCCAATCCCCAAGTCCACCAAAACTCGCCAGAGAACTTCCCGGTCCGGGAAGTGGACGCCAAGGATCATCTTCTAGAGTCAAACCTCCCTCCGCTCAATGAACTAGAAACCTACCATCGAACTACGATGAAATTAATGAAGTGGAACCAAGAGATAATGGAATGGATACAGATGCATCAGCTCCCTCGATTCCCACCAGCTTGACAGGAGCCCCCTCCACCCCTAGCAGAACACAACGCCTCTCACCAGGTGCGCCAACTTCCACCAAATAGGGTCACCAAACTCCATGAGGGCAGCCACTCTGGGAAAAATCAACAGAGGAGACCCACCGAAGAACACGACGAAGATAAAGCCCACAGTCGGGCTGGAGTTGCCTTTCGAGAAGAGAGGCCCCATCCCCTGCTGGACGCTAATGATCAGACATGGGAACAAAAAATTTGCGAACTCCAATGGGAGCTAGGCAATGTGAAAGAGGTGGTCAAGGGAAAGATTCTCGACACCATGGCCACTATGGTCCAGCAAACCGAGGCACCATTCACTCCCGAGGTCCTTCATTTTCCTCTCCCCCAGAAATTTTGAATGCCTTCGATAAAGACGTTCGAAGGGACCAAGGACTCAGTTGACCACTTGAATTCCTATAAAAACCAGATGAAACTCCAAGGGTACCCAGGCCCAATCCAATGTCGAGCGATCGCCATCACCTTTAAGGGGTCGGCAATATCCTGGTTTAATAGGAGCTACGTGTAGCGCTTCAACCAGGAATGTCTAAAGAGGGAGAGTGTGGACGATAAGTTCACACTGACCACCTTCATGTCCATGCTCGGAGTGCAGTCTAAAAACCTCCTCTTCTCGATCACGAAGAACCCTCAAGCCACTACGGCTGAGGTATTAGCAAAAGCCAAGAAATACATCAATGGTGAAGAAGCCCTCCGCTTGAAAGGAAGCTCGACGGCGATGGAAAGAGACCAGAAGAAAAGGGACCGCAATCCCAAGAAAGAGAAAAGATGCGATCGATCCCTGAGAAGGGACCGTTCCCCAAGGAGAGGGAGGGAGCCTTTTCCTAAAAGGAGAGGCAACGTCCAAGACTGCCTGGGGGCCCCTCCATAGGAATTACAGTTGCGATATGCACCAGCGCGGCTTCCACCCCTCGTCACCTCGATCGCTCAAGCCTTCCACTAGGTCCAGAACGAAAGATTCATCCAGTGGCCGCCTCGAATGAAGTCAGACCCCAGTAGGCGGGACGCCACCAAATATTGCGAATACCACAAGAGATACGGGCCATGAGACAAACGATTGCATCCAGCTCAAAAATGAGGTTGAGTACCTAATCCAAAGGGGCCACCTACGCCATTATGTGACAAGAGAAGGAAGACTTCAGAACAACAAGGGGTGGGAAGCCCGAGCTACTGTGGCACCTCCTCAGCCGCATTAGCAAGCTCTCAGTGAAATTCGAGTCATCTCGGGATGCTTTGCAAGAGGAGGAGAGTCTAGTTCAGCACGAAAGGCATACGCTAGAAGAGCACGTTCAGAAGATCACCTTGAAATCTAGGTCGTCTAGAAGGCACCCTGACAAGAAGTAGAGATAACCTTTTCGAATGCGGACCCACATGACGACCTCCTGTTCATAAAGGCAATCATTGTTAACAAAACTTTACAGAAAGTGCTCGTCGACAATGGAAGCTCCGCAAATATCATCTTCTTATCGACTTTCGATCAGCTCGGCATAGAAAGATCAAAGCTCGAGCCCGTGAAATCCTACTTATTGGGCTTCTCGGGCAAGAAGGTCTTGCTAATTGGTTCTATCCAGCACGTCCTCGCCATAAGAGAACAGCCCTGTCAGGTTACAACCAATGTTCGATTCCTAGTAGTAGACGCCCCGTTTGCTTACAACATTCTGTTGGGAAGGCCATCTCTCAATTCCATCAAGGCAATACCTTCGGCGTACCATTTGATGATGAAGTTTTCCACTGAAAACGGGATCGGCATGGTCAGGGTGGACCAATGCCTGGCTAGAGAATGCTATGTTGTGTCAATGAGGCAGAGAGATGTGGAATCAGTCCAACTAGAAGACCTGGACATGAGAAACGAATTGGACACTAGGCCTACCCCTACAGAGTAGCTAGAGCCCATGCAGCTGGACGAGGATTCAGAACACGTGGTTTACATAGGTTCCATATTGCTCCCACTCATTAAGGAGAAGCTCATCTCGTTCCTGAAGGAGAATGCTGACGTTTTTGTCTGGAAACAAAAGGACATGGAGGGAATAAACCCCGCGATGATCATACATTGAATGAGCGTCGACCCGTGCTACAAGCCCATCAGATAAAAAAGAAGGAGTTTCGCGCCAGAAAGGCAAAAAGTTATTAACGAGGAGGTGGCCAAGCTACTGCGGGCCAAAGCCATCAAGGAGGTCGATTACCCGACCTGGCTGGCTAATGTCGTGCTCGTAAAGAAGGTAAACGGCAAATGAAGACTCTATATCGACTTCACTGACCTAAACCGGGCATGCCCTAAAGACAGTTTCCCCTTACCTCAAATAGACCTGATAGTCGACGCCACTATTGGCCATGAGCTCCTCAGCTTCATGGACGCTTTTTCAGGCTACAATCAGATCAGAATGGACCCCAACGACCAAGAAAAGACATCGTTCATCACAGAGTAGGGGGTCTACTGCTACCAAGTGATGCCTTTCGGCTTAAAGAATACCGGAGCCACTTATCAGAGGTTAGTTAATAGAATGTTCAGCGAGAAGCTCAGTCTGACCATGGAGTATACATAAACGATATGCTTGTAAAATCCCTTAAGGACGAATCTCATGTCCACCATCTCGGGGAGTCCTTCGAAATTATGCGCCAATATAGAATGAAGTTGAACCTAGCGAAATGCACTTTTGGAGTGTCGGCAGGAAAGTTCCTGAGATTCATAGTCAACAGCAAAGGTACCAAGGCGAACCTCAAGAAGGTTAAGGTCGTCGTTCAAATGAAGCCCCCCACCAACATCAGAGAAATGCAGTGCCTGACCGGGAGAATAGCGGCGCTCAACCAGTTCGTCTCACGATCAAGTGATAAATGTCAACTTTTCTTCAAAGTCCTGAAGGCGGCCTTCCAGTGGAACGAGAAATGCGAAGAAGCCTTCCAGGCCCTTAAGGCTTACTTGGCCTCCCCGCCTGTGTTGGTGAGCCCGAAGACTAAGGTCATACTTCCAGGCGCATACCATTAAGGTCCTAATAAACCAGCCGATGAGGCAAGTCTTGCACAAGCCAGAGGCCTCGGGAAGATTCGTCAAATGGGTGATGGAGCTTAGCGAATTCGACATCAAGTTCAAATCCAGAACCACGATCAAGGGACAATTCTTGGCATATTTTCTTGCGGAGTTTACATCACCGCCTGAAGAGAACGTTGAAGATCATGACAGCATCCCCGATATGCCGACCTGAAAGTTATATGTAGATGGGGCCTCAAATGCCCAGGGATGTGGAGCAGGCCTCATCCTTACCTCCCTTGAAGGCTACAACCAAGAGTATGCCTTGAGATTCAACTTTCAGGCATCCAACAACGAGGTAGAATAAGAAGCACTCATAGCCGACTTAAACTTGGCCCTATCGATGGAAGCACAGCAGATGTGATCTACAGCAACTCGCAGCTGGTAGTCAGACAAGTCGAAGA